CCTACTGAGCTACTTCAAGTAAAAGAAAAGGTCACTTTTTTGATGCCCCCACTGTATTACAGTGTGGATCTTAATAACAAGAACCTTCCTAAGTTACAAACCCTTTCAATATCAAATTTTTGACAAGTTCTTGCCTGAATTTCCTTGAAAACAATACAATAAAAGCCTGTGTATGCTTCAAAGTCTTTTGCCCCAATAAACCTCCATTACTAGGCATTTCTGGAGGTGTTTTAGTTATTATTTCATTGACACGGGAAAGACAGAAACAATAAAAATGTAAATGGACATGATGCTAAAAGGAGGCGAAAGACTGTAATTGGGCAAGTAATCACCCTCTCAGGTCATCATCCTTTCAAGTCATTCCAAAAGCAATTTAAGACCCCGAATATCATCAATTACATCAAATAGCATCAATCTTCTTGAATTATACACAAAATGTGGCCTAATATCCAAAAAAATCGTCTCCTGCATTGGTCTGGTTGAAAAAACTTCCTCGAATCAATAGAAATGTTGAGAATGTACTTTTGAGGTTGATTTCAAAGTTTTAAACTTTTTCACATGTATATACAAAATACAGTTTCTTCCTAAATTAATCAATTTAGAACGTTTTTCACATATATTCCTTAAAGGACGTAAAACCTAGGCAGAAGCCAATTGGGAATGTTTATTGATTTAATCTACTGTTTTTTTGGATATAATCTGTGAATTTTTTTTCATATCATGCACAGTGTTTTATTGTGTGATCCTCATGCAATCACTTCAGTACAGCCACTCATAATTCAAAAACAACTGTATGTCACCTTTTGATTGCATCTGAGAAAGCTCAGAGGAAATCATGCATGCAACAAAAAAATATTTCAATACTTCATTGTTGTCAAAATTTGCTGTTAAATTTCTTGCCATCAGTAGGCATAAGCCGGAGTCACTCACTGACTCGTCAATAGCTAGCTGGTTTGATGAGGCTATTTTTCCTTGTATGGGTCAGTTTTATGGCGCATTAATTAGTGGGAAAACATTTTGCCCCTTCATTAATAAATCAAATACGGTAGGTTTGGGCTTTTCCCTCCTCTCAAAAATTACTCACTATTATAGCCATTATTCCGTTTTATATATGGGATGCAATTTGTTCATTGCACATTATATTGGTATGACTAACATTGTGCTTAAGCTTATTAGAAAGGGTTTTAACCTCTTTCTGAATATTGCACCTTTCCAAGAAACATCAAAAGGTGCACCACCTTTTGCGTACTTGGTGACAAAAAAAAATTCACATTGCGGTACTAACATGGTATCATACCAGAACCAGACCCAATCTTAATTTTTCTACTGCATGCAAAAGTTCATGATTCAATGCAAAGAGAGACTCTTTTAACTTGTACCCTGTAAAGTAAATGAGGTGACCTGAGAGAGCTAAAACAAATGATTTTATCCAGCCCTATTTTAATGAGCACTGGTTAAAATATCTACACATACAGTAATAAACTGGCTGTTTAGGAAGAAAAAAAATGTGTGACAGAGCTCCTTATACTCCATCAATCATGCTGTGGCAGAAAGAAGATTGATTGGACTGCTGAAGTTATTGAATGCCAGAAATATCCTTCATGGTTCATACCTTGATATATGGGTCATAATAAGTCTCTAAAGTTCTTCTCAGCTTTTTTTTGGAAACTATTTCATTCATTTCGAGCTCAGTCGAATTTTATTTTAATATGCTTCAAAGGTCTCTGAAATCTGTCAAAATAGTAGTCAGTGGATATTCATTCAAAATTCTTGCCAGTACTTTTGAACAATTTTTTTTGGTATTTGAAGCTATTTAACTTTATTTCAATAAATTTGAGGCGTTCCATGGAAATTGAAATGTTATGAAAATGCTCATCAAAGATTCTCTCTAAATTGTTCATTGAACTAAAACTCATACAGAAACTAAATGATTGAATGTATTTGGGGGAGTTGGGTTGGGTGGGGAGGGGGTTGGGATGCAGGAGTTCTGGTTATGCCTTGTGAACGCTGAAAAGCGGCAAATAAAGTTTTCTGTTCATTCATTCATTCATGAAAATGCTCATGCCATTATTGTAGCCAAAGAAAATAACTGACCATGTAATTCCAATTCATGTAATAATGATTTGATAGCCTTCAAGGAAGCCATGGTGAATTCCTGTGCTTCATTAAAAGATGTTTTGTGAGCTCTTCCTGAACTCAATTTACAGAGCCTGAGAGGAAAACCATTATAGTTACCTGGGAACAGGCTGAATATTTTACGATTTAATTTTTGCTGGGTAATTGCCTTGTGCTTTTTGGTCTTGAAAAATGGCAGCTGAATATTCATAAATTTTGTCAATGCTTGGATGCGTTTTATTTTTATACCCATCATGTAGTAAAGTATTTTTTGAAATGCTGGGAAATTTTGAATGGATGTGTGATGGAGGGGGGCGGGAATTTTTTTTTCAACATTGCGAATGCCGACAGCAAGCAGAAAACAAATTATACCAATCACTCAGTAACTTCAACACTGTGCCAATGGTTGACTATTCCACCCTTTTATGGACACATTATTCAAAGAGGTCACCTCAACAGTAGAAACTTGTTGGGGTAGGCTAATCTTCCGATAGTGGTTCACTGGCCCCGGAATGCAGTCATTTCATAAATTACACAAACCGTCCATCTGAGGAGCTGCTGTTAAAGTTTATCGCTTGTTGAAAATGACTGTTAATTATAAGCCATTACGAGCTTTCCTCATACCGAAGAGCATGCAATATAAATTATGCGCAATTTTGGACAGAACCTTTTACCATGCGATGATTTATTGTATGGAGTCCATTTCTTTGCCATTTTTCTGTTACTCTGTACGATAAGGTTATTATCGTGGACATAACTTCGAATGTTGTTTAGGAATTTTCTTGTTGCATGGTAAATGCGCTGCTACTGCAAAATTGGCCTTCTTATACTTTATGCATTTGAATGCTGAAAATTAGGCGGAAAACAAGGAAACTCGTGCGAAATAAATTGAATACAACATGGTATTAACAGAAGAAAATAGCATTTCAGATTTTGTTATTTGTGTGGTCTCTAAAGAAATTGTTACATTCATCCTGAAGAAAATTATGTGTTGCAGGATTTTCGATAGAATAAAGCAGGGAAAATCATAAGATCTGCACTACCAGTGTTAACATCAATTTATGCCTCATTTTTATCATTATAGCCATAATAAAATACTATTTTTTGTTGTCTTTTATGATATGGATTAATTTTAAAAAAATTCCTACATTGATTGACCTTTGCTTGGGATGCAGTGGGAAACATACCAGTAATTTTTTCATCAGCTTGCTAAGAATCAAAGTATACCAGTCAGCAAATTCCATGAGAAGATTATTTTAGGGAAAATGAGCTCTATGTCATATTGGATGAAAAAAAGGGACCACATCAAATGTTCAACTGAGCATAGTTGAGGCACCCTTGAATCCTTGGACGGTGTTATTGTAGGGTTCCTTTCGATCACATGGTGGTATCTGGATTTGGGTGAGGGGGGGGGGGGGCACATTTCAGTTTGACTAAAGGTCATAGAAATGCTCCCAGGTTGGGAAGGCCTACATTGGAAAAAATCCACAAGGTAAATTTTCTTTTGTTCTAAAAAAATATCCAATGGCAGTCCTTTGCTGGGAAAAAAAATTACACCCACGGAGAGATTTTTTCATGCAAAATTTTCTGCAGGATTATAAAAAATATTAGACTTTTTCTTGACCAAGGCCTCCATACATGTGAGATTCTTTTTTGCAGTGCTCATGGGCATACAAAGCCCACCTGGCAATGATTTGAAAAACCATGGAACTGAGCCCACCCATGAGCCAAATTACCCATTTAGAAAGGAACTCCACAGTCAATTTTCATGTTTCCCTGCAGTACAGCTATCAAAATATTTACTTTCTCACCAGAAAACAAAGTAGTTTCCAGAATTACCAAAAATTTGTTCAGAACAGCAAGCATAACTGATGCTTTCTAGATGAACAATAGATGAACAAAACTGAGAGAAAGAACAGAAAAGAGTATAACTATATTGGTAAGTTCTCCATGCAGGTGCAGAAGTTGTGGGGTCAGCAAAAACCTGAGAAAAGCAGATGTGGATTCAGCTGTCACCACCCATGGAGTTGTGCATGTGGTGGTTTCAGGAATATAAACAATAATTTGGGAAGGCACAGCCCCCTCAATTGGGCAAAACTCAACTGGATCCATAACCCCTTCTGGGATTTTGCCTTCACATATTATGAACTTGAGTAGTTCTACTTTCTAAATAACATTGAATTCTTATTGGTGTTGCATTTAAAACTAGTGAAAAGGTACTAACTCTCAGTCCAAAATGTTCCACACAACCCAAATCAAGGAAACAACTGGTCATGACAATGGAATTGTTGCCTTACTGACATCTAAGGAGGAGGCATCATTACAATGGAGATGGCCATCTTGGATTATGCATCTGCCATGATACATCTTAGGATGGCTGATGGCCAGCAGCACAAGCATGGAACACATGTCCAGTCAGCCGCCGGTTGGTCAATTGACGGTTGCGCACCTGCCGGTTGTCAAGCGCTGGTCGGTCCAACCGCCAGCCAGGGCAGTTCTTGGCCTTGCCAATCCCCAGCCCACCAAACTGCGGTTTGGTCACCCGATTGTCAGGGCACCCGAACAATCGGGTGACAAGAATCATGCTGATTTTTTTTTCCAAATTCAGTGAGCAGAATGGTATCCTACCACAGATTTTTTTCTTCAAAATTTCAGCAATGTTAGGTTAGGTTAGGTTAGGTTAGGTTAGGTTAGGATATGTTAGGTTAAGTTAGGTTGGGTTTGATAAGTTTTTTTCTTTTTGTGAAAATTTTTATAAGATGAAATTTTGTAAAAAAAAATAATCTATGGTAGGATAACCTTCTGCTTACCAAATTCTAGAAAGAATCAGCATGATGCTTCTCACCAAATTGTTCGGGTGCCCCAACAATTGGGTGACCAAACCGCGGTTTGGTGGACTGGGGATTCGCGAGGCCAAGAACTGCCCTGGCTGGCGGTTGGACCGACCGGCGCTTGACGACCGGCGGGTTTGCGACCGTCAATTGACCGACTGGCGGATGACCCGGTACCGTTTCATGAATATTCAGATCTGTTCCATCAATATCCTGATCTTTCCTATCAATATTGTGTTAGTTTCCATCGAGTTACTTCTTAGCTTCGTGAGTAAACAAAACAATAATACATTATTTTTTTTATTGAATGCTTCTTGTTGATCAGCAGCACTTTGTGCAGATTGAGCTTGTCAGGAAACCCCTCTCTCAAGACACTGATGCGTTTCCAGAATTCTTCAGCAGTTTATTCATACGACATTGTCCCTGAATAATTGAAGCAGCACTTGGAAAAAACTAGAAAGCACGGCATTAAGATTTACCCCGAAGCAACTTCCCTTTTTTTTTAATCCTCCGATATTATTCGCATCCTAGTCTGCTCTCGCCTCTCCGCCTCCTTCTTTTCTTTTTCGTCCTACATTTTCTAGGGTTCTCCTATATAGCATACTGTACATATACCTCACACTATAGCTGTTTTCTTCCTCATGATCCACCATCTCTATAGGAAGATGAGGAGGGAAATCTCAAGTGAGACCAGATGCTGCATCCATCATGTTCCGCCCGCCTACACTTTCGCTTTCCCATTGTATGCCCGGCTTCATACTCAGGGAATTACGGCTACGCTTTGTTATACATTTACCCCTCATTCTCCTCTTTACTTGTTTTTTTTTTACAGTATTTCTAAATGCGTTTTACAGTAAAATCTAATCACAACAAGTACCGTTCCACCAAATTTTTCAGTATAACAAACTTTTTTTCAAGTCCCAGCAGAAATCCTTTAGGGTACATGTTACAGGTGAACCTCTCTAAGTCGAATTTCTAGGGACTATAAAAAAAATTGACTTAGGGAGGTCTCGACTTAGGGAGGTTTTGAGTTTTTGAAGAAAGTAAACAAACATTTGTGCTACAAGGAAAATGGGAATGTAGATGAGGACATTCTGGGCCTAAACTTGCTTTTTTAATGGGTTTACAGCTCTTGCTGAACCTGTGGGCAGGGGTTCATTTGTTCAATTAGTCCTTCACTTGATTTAAAAATGCATAAAATAATTTGTTTTGTTGATTTTTCTCAATCATATTTCAAGGAAATAATGACCAAAAGGCCTCAGAAAATTTGACTCACAGAGGTTTGAGAGAAAATTACTTTGACTTAGGGAGGTTTTTAATACATTGCTTCTAAGGGAATCCAGACAGGGACTTGAAAAAAATTTGAGTTAGAAAGGTATTCAACTTAGGGAGGTTCAACTTAGCAAGGTCCCCCTGTATAAGAATCTCATTACAACAAACTTGCCAATTCCAGCATGACAAACTTTTTTGAGGAACATATTATGATTTCTTTATAGAAAATCCCTGTTGGAAGCAGGCACAGTACCACATTTCCCATTCTAAATGTGACTGATGACTGGTTCTTGGAACGTAAGGTGGAATACAAGCTCAAAAATTCTTCAAAATTCACCTGAAATTCCTTTGTTTACAAAATTATTCTTATGATAGGAACGATAGTGGAAGGGAGGGGGGGGGGGGTTGGCAGTTAGATAAAAAGAAATGAGCCCAGCAATACCCATGCTAGGCAGGGTTTGTATGCTTGAGAAACCCTAGTGATGTAAAAATTGTCAGAAATTATGGAACATCCGCCCTTACAGATCTTTGCATAAATTGCTTTAAAAAAACGTAGTCAAAAAGTGTGCTAGTATTTACCTGTTATTCAGAGTATTTTTTGATTAGTAATTACATTTCTTTTTGAAGATCACCATTTTTTAACCATTGAAAAACATCTGAAAAGGCCACATAAGGAAGATTCTTAATATGTGCCTGCCTAATTTAGAGAAAATCCTCCAATCAGTCAATAATTTTCACAATCTCAGTATAACAAATTATTTATTACAACAAACTTGTTCTGAAGTCCCCGCAAGTTTGTTGCAACAAGATTTTACTGTAATGTATTTGAAAAAAAGATGGGAGAGAATAAGATATGACCTGAAATGTGGGTGATGACGATTTTGACGGAATGATGGAATAGAAAATGGAATAAAAAGGAAACATGCAGCAGCTTACCGACATAAGTTTTCGGCGCCATGTCGCCGTAACCGACTGTGGTCATTGTCACAATGGCCCACCACAGGCCCTCTGGAATACTCTTGAAATCGTTGTGCGGATTCGCCTGTGAAGAGCCACAAATGATGAAGGGAAACAGCATCAAGATATTTTCTGTATTATTGAGATAATTTTCCAGACAAAACAAAATATCAGCACCTTGGCTTTTTTGTTGTTGAAATTTTGACCACGAAAATGCACATGAAAAACTGTTGAAACACATCTATAGCTTAAACTTAAGGAATGCGAGAAATTAAATATTTTGAGCATTACATATCTGTGAATTCAATGGGTGAATGTTTGAAAATAAATTTTGAAGCACACGCAGAAAGCGGTCGTATTTTGCAACACAACACACAATACCTTATATAATTTTAAAAATGCAATCGAACCTTTCTGACAATGAACCAATGATTTTTTTTATGCATATAGGACAAACCCAAATGCAGAAGGAACTTGGCAATACCCATTTTTGAAGCTATCATGACTGAGTAATGACATCGTTCCAAATGGAAACAAATTAAAATTATAGAAGAAAAAGGATCAATTTGATATCTTCCTTATGCATATTTTGGTCGTTTCTGCTTGTGATGAATTCACCAGCAGAGATGTGAAATAAAGCCTTGAGCCATGAACAACACCCATTCCAGCAGCCTCTTTACTGCTCATGAGTTCCCCATGTCACGTTTTCACATAAAAAGCAAACTACTTTGCTCTATCTAAAATAAAAAAAAACTAGAAATATCAAAGAAATTTGAAGGAAAAAAATCCAAAAAGGGCATACAAATAAGATAAGAGCATCCCTTCATCATTTCCACTTATGAATATAAGCATCAGTGATACTGAGTAAATCGGAAGCAAAAAAGCTATTCATATTTTCAAGAGTTTTGAATTACCTTTCGAATTTCCTTCTGAATTCCCACATAAAATTGAAATTCAAATTGAAAATCGGATTTTCTTTCTTTGAATTTGGAAGATATTTTTTCGCATGAAGGAAAAATCGTAACTTGGGTTTTCAGTAGTTACTGTAGACTTATCAAAAATTTGCCTGCCCAACCAATGACCAGTTGAAAGACTTGTCAACTATTCTACCTATTAAAACTAAAAAACCACATATCTCTTCGTAAAACATTAGCCTTGGGCATACAGTGTGTCTAACAAAGTATAGCATGAATATTGCTCTGTGGACAAAGACAAGAAATCCTTTGTTTTCCCAATCAAATATTTTGTTTGGGCCAACAAAAATATTAAAAAAGATATTTTTTTACCAAGAATGGGCAATTGGCAAGGCTTCTTCAATTAAAATTTCTGGTTCCCAAAGGATACATTTTTTCTGTTGTTCCCTTTTTCCAAACTGAGAATCACCAGAAAAAAGCACGAAGAATATGCACACAAATTGAAAATGCTGGAGAAATAAATAAAAAAAATTCACGATTCATAAGGATATAAGGATGAAAACGGGACATAGCTACGAGCTGTTGTAGAATTTAACTCATTTTAGAAAAATCTTCGCAACCTTTGTCCTTTATATTTCATTTCCAAAGCCCTGAGAGAAGATTTGTTCATCCTACCCAAGCATTTGCATAACATAATCACAAACCTGAAGCCGTTCAGCGTAGTAGACGAGTGAAGCGAAGACAACAATACCCAGCACCAAGAAGAAGACCAGCAGCGTTAATTCCTTCGCACTGGCTTTGAAAGTGTGCACTAGGATCTTCAGGCCAGGACTGTGCCTCGTTAACTTGAAAAGCCTGCCAAGATGAAACAATAGACATCCATTTTTTCCGCTTTTTTTTTTCTCTTCTGGCACATATAAACACAAATAAACGGGTCTACCGATTCTCCCTAGTTTTTTTTTACTGGAATACCCGTTCAATGGAGACTCGCTTGAACATTCACATGCTGGAATGTAGCTTTTATTTTCTGTTGATAATATCTTCTCGTTTTCCCCCAATTGAAGTCCCATTTTGGGTCCACAGACCAGCAAATTTCCCTAAAATTGTTCGCAGATCAACAAATTTCCAAAAAAATTGTCTGCAGACTGGCGAGTAAGTTTGATAAAATGTTTGCAGACTCAAAAAAGTTTTGCTTGAATGACGTTATGATAGACTTGTAAAAAATGTTCTGCTTATTTGCAAAAATTAATTCAAGACCCAATGAACTAGGTGTTATGGAATGTCTTCACAAAAATTTGAAAGCTGGGCATTGAGAAAATTTTCTCCGAATAAAAATTGTTATTATCTATTTCAGCAGGTGGAAATTTGTCTGGAGTCTTATTATTGGGAGAAAACCGAACTTATATTTTTCATCAGATAATTTGAACCGCCATTGCCTTTCATAAATTTCAGATAAATATAATAGACTTCATTGGTACTTGTTAAAAAAAATTTATCAAGCTGAAGAAAATTTCCGGCGGACCGGCAAAAAACTTTTGTGGACCGGCACTGATGGTCCACGGACCACGGTTTGGGAACACTGATATTAGAATAGATTCTATGTGTAGCATCGTATTTTGTTGTTGTTGCAGATCACTGACCTAAGGATCCGAATGATGGAGAAAAACTCCAAGATGTCAGCGTTCTCGACGTCCCTGGCAAAGTGTTGCAAGAGGAAGTCCAAGTAGAAACTGAGTGTCGCGATTATGTCAATGAGGTTGATGAGTGACTTGAGAAACTCGACGGGTTTCGGAGTCACCAAAAACCTGATGGTTATTTCGAACGTGAACCAACTGTTGCACACGGCTTCGATGTAGAAAAAAGCCGCGTGAGCATCGGTCCGATCTTTGTCCAATGTCCAATGAGTCTTATTATCAGCTCCTGTGCAAAGAAATAAAATAATAATAATAATAATAAATGCACACAAATTGCACACAGTTGGGTGTTGTCAAGATGCCTTCCAAAATGAAAAATAAAACCTTTGTATTTCGGATTTCGAAGGAATTCATGGCCAGTTTCCTGAATGCTAGGACATTTTAAACCTCTCTGACTTCAACTTTTTTTTTTTCGAACCTCCTCCAGGCAAATTGTTTCGGCCTCGTAGTTTTTTAATTGGGGATACAATTTAAAAGACCTGTTCGAGAAAAAAGAAAACAGATTTACATGGTCTTCTTTACGCTATCCACGAGGGATCATGCATTTTTCTGCAGATGGAACATCTTCGAATGACCAATAGTTCTAATGATTCGGTCAGAAAATAATTTTCATCGATTATTAGCATACCCAAAAAATAGCTAAATTATCTGATTGAAAAACTCTTCAAGTCGAATATTTCGGAGTCCCTTCGAAGTTGACTTGGAAAGGTTAAAATGTGCATGGATAAAATTCAATAATTCTTTCATCCTGAAAAATCAGCCGATAATAGCGCATAACAGACCTGGAACTGTGATATTCCTGATGACTGGAACCCTCATGTCAGGATGAGTTTTCAGACAAAACGACAGGATTGACACGCATATGAAGAACACAGAAAACATCGATATCACCTGTGAAAAAAAAAATACAGTACAGCATTTCAGTATAATCGAACTAATTTTGAAAATGATGTTTCTGAAAAATGTTGGGTGATGATTGGAAGTCTTGGGGAAATGAAAGAATTGACACTGCATGAAAAAAATTGAAAGTCCTTGCATCAGTGTCATCTTGACCATTCATCTACAGTACAGTTTAAAAGAAACGTACGAGTAATTGAATAGTACTCATTTTGTTACAAAAATAAATCTGCAAAAAAAGGATAATTTTATTAAAATGAAATAAAAATGTTTATTGCTCGATCAGCATCAAGCCCAGCAAAAAAAAAACCGGCTTCTCAGAGAAAATATGACTAATATACAGACTAAACTTTATACTGTCAATGTAATCTTCGATCTTATTTATTTTTTGGCGTTATTTCTGAGACGCAAAATTAGTTCAGCTAAGTTTTTTTTTTTTTCATTCGAAGCCAATGGATTTATCTCTTGTATATGGAACTATATAAACTTTGTACCACGAGAATCCTGAATCGCACATTTTGTCTTTTTTTTATCTAAATTGCGCTCTCGACATTTATCCATGATTCTTCCTGGTGAACAGTTGCACAGAATGGCTTGCACACATGGCCAGCTCAAAAGCAGCTGTTGTTAACACAAGTCCACGTGCCCTTGCAAAATATTCTGCAGTCCCTCTCGCGTCATTACTCGTGTACATACCATCGCGAACACGTGGGGCTGAATTCATTTTTTCGAAAGATGTCCGGCATGTGAGAAGGATGCAAAAAAACAAACAATAATGCTCGGCATACATTGCTCAAGATGTGCTAACATCCGCAATTCCTCCAGTACTTCGATCCATTTCCTTTTTATTTCCCTCCATTCCGAACATGATGATCACGGAGATGATGCTATGCGACTTCCTCGACGGGGCTATATGTACTTATTTATTTTTGTAAGTTTTCCTTCTTGGGAAAAAATTATTCGTTTTCACTGTTTTGTTTTATTTTTTATTTTTTCAAATCAAACAGGAATGGTCGAATGGTGCATTTGAAAGTGAATAACAGTGCCCCATTTTTCTGTCAGCCACGTCGGAATGTTTTTCCGGCCCACTGCTGCAAAAAAAAACTTTCGCGTTCCTCGAATGAAAAAAAAAATATTTGCAGGACGATGGAAAGCAATTTGAAAAAAGGTGGAAAATAGGAAGAAGAAAATTTAAAAAAAAAAAAACAGGAGAGTGAAACTGGTGATGGGGAAATGTGCCCAGAAAAGAATAGCGCAACATGGGGAATATATATATATACAGTATATACAGTATATATATATACGTATGAGAGGAGCGATTCGCGTCCCGCAATTTCAGCAGCGGCGCGGACGAGGCCGTGCCGTGAATAATGAATAATACTATCCCTGCGTTCCTTTACATTCATTCCACGGCTGAAAATAAGGGTGCCAAAAGTATTCGCATAAAAATATAAATATAAAAAAAGAATCCGGCTTAGTCCCAAACTTCTCTGATCCTGGAAATCCGGGGTGGAAAGGAAATTTACTCTGAAAAGTTCGAAAAAGGAACCCGCGTCCATGACCTTTTCAATGTAAAGCAAATTCATTTTAAAGTTTCATTTTTGAGGTAAAAAAAATAGAAGAGAATATAATTACTTTATTACCTTCGATTAAATCTAAAAAGTTCTACAAATAAGTCTCCATCCTTTTTGAATCAAGTTGAAGTGAAATAACGGAATAATGAACTTTCGCTTACGCGAGACTGAAATTATTAATAAAAGTCGAAAATAAAATTTTAGGGTTGTGTGGTATAGGACAACCTGCTCCTGTATACCTATACTACAGCCCTAAACCCATATACAGTATTATTGCTGGGTAAAAAAAATCTTATGCTATAATTTCAAGGGGATCTGGTTCTGACTCGACACATTCGAAGCAACTCATCATCGTCATCAAAGCTTTAAAAAAAAGCGACAACTCATAAAAAAACAATGTAACAACTCTTGAAAGTCATAATCTCATACACGGAAAATGTTCATAAAATTCTCTACTTTTCAAAAAGGAATTTTTCTGAAAGAATATTCAGAGCTGCAAAAATAGAGTCCAATTTATACGCCGAACTTTGCTCTTCGGTCACAGGATTCTTCCTTCACATCGCGAATAATTTGTAGCGAAAACATAAAAAGAATCCATATTTGACTTAACCTACGCGAGAAAGTTTCAATGATCTTCTCTTTGCTTTTGTCTCTCCTATAATGACTCGAAATTGAACAACTAACAAAAGGAAGCTCATTTTTTCCCGCATATATAAAATGAGAGCTCGAAACAAGATTTAAGCAAGAAAGAACACCTGAAATTAAAGGCATCGCAGTAAATAGCAATTCAGAAAACGAAATTCTCGCATTCGGAAAATATTCATAAATTTTCTCCTTTTGAAATTGTATTTTATCCGGAAATAATATTCAGAGCTAAAAAAAAAGAGTCTAATTTACGCGTCAACCTTGATTTTTAGTGCCCACAATTTTTCATTCGGATTGCGAATTTTTCAATATACAGTACAGTACAAGAAGACGTAAAAAAAATACACATTTGACTTCTCAACCTTGGCGTGAAAGGTTTCTACTTTATTTTCCGTGTCAATCGTCTCTCCTCTGGTGAAGTCTTTAATGACTCGAAATTGTACAACTTAAAAAAATAAATAAGCGGAACTTTTTTTTTGGCAGGTATATGAAATGGGAACTCGATGCAAGATGGCGGTTATATAAGCAAGAAGGAAGTACTGTATGATGATGTGAAGAAAATGAAGGAAATACATTTTCTATTGGTCCCTTGAATTATTTCCGTAGAGAGTATCCAACTGTATGATAATTTATAGTTGAAAAAGCAAAGTCATCTAAATATTATCAATCTTCTAATGTTGTTGTAATCAAAAACCTCTGAAAACAACAAACCACGTGAGAGTTCTTGATACAGTACAAAAAAAGAAGTCCCACTTTTATCCCCGCAGGTATTATGAAATGCGAACTCGATGCAAGATGGTGGATATATACAGTATAAGCAAGAAAGAAGTACTGTATGATGATGTGAAGATGATGTGAAGATGAAATGAAGGAAATGAATTTTCTTTTGGTCCCTTGAATTATAGAGAATCCAACTGTATGATCATTTATAGTTGAAAACGCAAAGTCATCTCAAAAATATTAATCTTCTAATGGTTTATAATCGAAAACCTCTGATGAGAACGACAAACCACGTAAGAATCGTTGATACAGCACAGTACAAAAAAAGAAGTCTAACTTTTTTTCCCCCGCAGGTATTATGAAAGGATGAGAACTCGATGCAAGATGGCGGATATATATATATATATATATATATAAGCAAGAAATAAGTATGACGACGTGAAGAAAATGAAGGAAATGGAAAAGAACTCACCCGAGCGAAGTGGGAGGAATGAGGCTCATCAAAAAGGCTCCAGACCTTGGGCTTGAGTCTTTGCCAGCAGTTGAGCGCGTTCTGGTGGTAGGCCTCCTCGAATCCGAACTTCCGCGCGATTTCCTCCTCCGAGGGTTTCTCTTGATCTATCTCCAATTTGTCCAGGATTGCCAGCGTGTTCTGCATTCCAAATAATGTGCCTCTCAAGCGTACGTTTTCATTTGCTCGTGATTATATAACCATTATTATTCTACCCCCCCTCCCCCTTCCCCCAATGAATCAATCGATTCGGGTTTTTCGGATCGCTTGATGAAAAGTAGACCATCGTATGACTATATACTGGCTCTGAGAAAGTTTCTCTGCAGCAGTCCTGTTTATACGACGATTTGCTGATTTTGTTGGGGTCTCATAGGGTTCTCTATAGATACGACATGTTATATTAGAGGTTCTTTGTACAACGAAACGATCTCTACAATGAATTTTCTTTCGGTCCCTTGAATTTTTTTTTTAATTTTATTTATTTATTTTTATTTTTTTGCAGAGAGAGTTCAACTGTATGATTATTTCTAGTTCAAAAGGCAAAGTCAGCTCAATAATATTAATCTTCTAATGTTTTATGATCACGAACCTCTCAACGATAAACCAAGTAAGAATCGTTGATGTGTGCTTCGCAAAGTTCAAGCTTCGATTTTTAATAACAGCGTTCCTCAGAGAATGAGATCTGCATTTGAAATAAGACCCATGAAAGTATTTTTGGGTATCGTCCCGAGTATTCTTGAATACTCTTGAACCAACATTAAAATCTACGAAAATGAAACCAAGATTATATTGCACTCTGAAATGTGGTTCTCAAATAAGGCGCTTTTCCTCCACTTCGAGAAAGAATGGCTGTCAATAATACAACTGATCTAATAATCAATCAATCTGAATTAATCTAATAACATATTTTACTGAACCTGTTACTTACATGAATTCGTTTTCGACTGCTCTTTATTGTCAGAGTTCGAAAGGTAAACTTTTCACCTCAAAGAAGATCAGTATAATACAAAAGCCGAGTAATTGAGTTTTTATAGTTCACTCCTCAGTTAAAATATATCTTTGGATTAATAAATTCATTTCAAAATGATAATTGCCTCATCATCTACCGTTTAAAAAAAAAAAGAATAATCCTGAGAGAAGCGTATCATTTAAGGGAAAATGAGGCAGAATTTATCCTTGCATTCCTTATTAACCTGCGTTTGACAATTTTGCTTGCATACTGTTTTAAGCGCAGTTAAAATACTTGACTAACCTGAGTGTCTCTATGAATGGTGTAAGTCATCCAGCAGCAAGGCTCGACTTGATTGGAATCCAGGCCCCAAAATTCGAGCTCTTCCTCAAATAGAGGCCCACAAACGTTTGTTGGGTAGTGCAACTTCCCAGTGCTTCAGAAAAAAAAGAAATGCACGCAATTTTCAATTTCTGCTGATGAGGTGCAACAAGATGGTCCAATGTCTGAAAAACGGATCATCACTGGACGAAATCACGAACAACATAAGAATAGGTCCCGCAATAATTCAAACTTTCGTCGGAAGAAAGCTCAGGTTATTTTCGTCGGACGAATAAAACAAAAGAAAAACTTACGTTTTTGTTTGTATCCGAGACCTTAATAAAGACTCAGACAACATTTATATCTCTATCTGCTATACTACCACTCTACTTATATGACTTTATGGCAGCAGGTCAACATTTTTTTAAAACTTTAATAATAAAGTATTGTACGATTAAGTAAGGCCAGAAAGCCAAAATATCTCTTGGCCACGAAAATCTCGAGAGAAAAATTCCACGTATTTCTCCGGATTTGAAATTCACGTATTGTTAGCATGTTGAGAAATTTTAAAAATTCATGGGGACCGTTTCTCTAACCGGTAGTAGTTCATGATTTGGGCGAAAACGCCGGGGTGTCGGTCGAAGAAGTACTCGTTAAGTACGGGGTCGTAGTTGGCCAGGGCTTCGGTGAGACGTGACAGTCGAGTGGCAGGGATTTTCTTGAGGGTCGCCTTATAAGTCTCGAATCGAATGCCCCCGACATTGAGGATGATTCTATTTTCTCCGTCGACGTTCATGACGTTGCCTCTGCTCGCGGGTTGTTGTTTTATTTCCCTTCGAGTGTGTCCTCCTCTTAACGTTTTCTCCTCCTTTTTTTGTTGTTTTTATCCCGGTTGCCGGGTTTCTGTATTTTCCTTTTGATTCAATACATTTATTTTTATTTTTCTTGCGTTCTCCGGAAGAGAAGGAGGAGGACGAGGAGGAGAGCCAGAGGCTTAGAAGTGCATGCTGGCTTTTTTTTTTTTTTTGCTTCGGCCTGGTTCCGGCGTCTAAACGGACATCCGGTGGCACTTGGCAATCGACACTTCCGCTTTACGGCGTTCTTTGCATCTCAGCTGTTTGATTATTCATTTCTTTTTATCACTTCATCGTGCCTTTTTTTCTGAATACGAGGATAAAGCGGGATGAGATATTTGAATTGAAAATCATCACAGAACACACTTTCTTCCGAGGGATGATGGTGATGTGTACACATATACCCTAAATTAGGAGAAACGCGGCGAAGACAGTTAACTTTTTGTAATAGCGAAGTGCAAACGTGGAGTAAGTGAAGTATAGTGCACGAGGACTTTATCTTCTCTGTTTTTGCTCAACTTACTCATCATTGGGAAGCACGATTATTTTCTCAAATCATGGCGATGATGGAATCCAATCCACTCTGAGCCTCTCCGTATACTGTATAAAAATAAAATATTTTTAACAGCTCACCATTTTCATCAATTCACTCAATCGAGAATTTCAAGGGCGTATTATGTACAATTCTTGGGAAAAAGCCTTATCAACTCTCCCAGACGAGAGACTCTTTTTTTAAAATTATGAAGACTGTGGAGTCAAATTTCCGTTGAGTATTCTGATAATTAATTTAAAATTCAGCAGCTCGTCACTTTTATTTTCTCTGCATTTTGAGACAATCCCCTTCTTCATGAAGATAGGTACTCCTTAACGAGGAGCTTTATTTTTTTAAATGATGGGACTATCAAGACCCTCACTTATCTTCAACGATGATGACGAAATATATTTATCTCTAAGCCTGGACGAAAAACTGAACCGCTCATAAATTCCGGTGCTCACTTTTTAAGTTTTCGCAGCATCTTCTAAATTCAACAACGACCGAAAAAAGTTGAATTTGATAACCTTTTCCCCCCAGATGATGATGAAATTTAATCGACTCTGATTTGATCAAGTTTTTCCATTTCTGGAAAGAATTGATTTAATTCAGCGAAGTCACATAGAAAAACTTTCAAATCAACTTGTATCATTCTTGATTGGTGTAAAACGAAAAAAGCTTTTCGAACGACGGATTTTTATGTTTTTTCACCAAGACGAGGACAAGGAAATAGGAAATAGATGGTCAAGAAAATAAGTATATAAATGTAATAACAACATAGTTTTCCTTGGTTCGAATCAACTTGGCCCGAAGAAATATAATCTTCGAAAATGTTTACGCTTGCAGTTTCACTCCATTTTTTTTCTAAAAACGGGAAAAATTACCATTTTCAAAAGATATTCTTCCAAAAGCAATTTCCCAAAATGAATACACTTTCGCGATAAAAAATAAACTGAATTTCCCGTTGATCCACTATCTGCGATGCAATTCAATCCCGAATGAGAATTGTTTTTCTCCGGAAATTGGGTAAACTATTTATTGATGCAGCAAGCAACTTGTTATTACATGTATTCTTCGTCGTGTTTTCTCCGTATTTTCATCCAGGATTCTGTTTTATTAAAAGCACGAATAAAAAAAAACCAACTCTGCTTTGAAGTTTGTTTGAGAAAAGCGATCGAAAACTTTAGATTGCCAGAGTTGCTTGTTTACCTGCCCTTTATTATGCGAGACGTCCAATTTTCAATATTGGACGAAGAGCTCAAACAACTCCGCAAACGAGGACCGGAAAAACCTTTTTTTTTTTGAATTTCATGTGCATTATTTATTGTTTTAAATAATCTACTACAATGGTTGAAAAAGAGAAATTCAGGTCTGAACGGAAGCATGTTCATGGAATGAACTTCCAAGAATTGTGGTAAACCAAGTATCGGTCAGAAATATTTTTTTGAACTATGCATTAAGTCCAGAGAAATGGATCCCAACTTTTAGACTTCCGAAAACCCCACAGAGGATTCTTAAGAGAATCCTTTTTTTTTCATTGACCATTTACCTTATTTAAAGTAACTGATCGGCACAAATTTGTTCTGAAAACTTGGGTGCGTGTCATAATTGGGAAGAAGTTCATTAGACCATTTGGCAAAATTTTCAATGCTACATTTTTATCATTCATTATAAATACCAACCATACGAAGACACTTCAACTTATACAACAAACAGGGGTTATTAAAAGCAATTCCACTCTTGAATTGTAATATTTTTTTTGCAAAAATTTGCGTTTTATGGAATTTTTTGAAATACTGTATTGAAATGTTTGCTCATGAAAAACGTCTCACGTGAGAACGTTTGGCACTTTTATGAACTTGGTGAAGAAAGCAAGTCTCGCTTAGCTGAATTCAATTATTTGGTTGGATGCGAAAAACATTTTTGAATTTGACCCAACAGCTATAGGGCTCCCATATTGAAGCGCGAAAACATTTTGTTGTTGTTGGAACAAATCGTGTGCAATTTTACGGCCCCATAAAAATAAGCATCATCA